TTATTAAAAATAGAAGATACGATGTGTAATCATTTTGGTTTTGATTTCTGAAATCTTCTTTTACTATCTGCAACTCAGTTGAATTTCACTTTATGAAATTATTTTGCAATCAGGAATTGCAAGTTTCACAACTGACAAAGAAGTTTGGAAAAGTAAAAGTTGACTTGACTTGATTTTGTAATGCATCCGTGATGAGCCAATATTCCCACACTGATTGTGTTTATTGTTTTTCTGTAGACGACATTAAGCTGTGTGTGATTGTGTGGTGTGTGAGAAGCAGAATTCTTGGGATTTTGAACAAGAGACTGTGAAACCAAACCAAACAAAATATCTTTCATGTTTTCAGAGGGATGCAAAAGATTATCAAGTAAACAGTATACATGTTGTTAATTCGAAATACGACGCAGCCGATGCGCGTTATTCAAGTTCAAGCTCAAAAAGCCGACATCATTTGAGAGAGACCTATACTTTTCTAATCATTGATCTTGCTGAATCACAGATTCAATAGCAAGCAATCCGGAGCTTGTTGATTTGAGACATTAAAACAAGACTAGGCAAGTCTAGTCTAAGTTCTATTCAAATTCGGGCGATTCACAATGCAGGGCGCCACCAAGAGTTTGACACTGAGGGTCCATTTTTCAAGTTTACGGTCGTCAAAACATGGCCCATTTGAATGAGTGTCAGTAGACAACCTGAGCTAATTTGTTATAGATTTGGGCATAGCGTTCTGCCGCCTTCCAAAAACACCATAGCGATAAAAAAACAAAGAAAAGGGCAAACAGATACTCCAATCATACGCTAACAAAAATGCTGACCCGAAAAACGAACAATTTCAAATGTCCAGTGCTGCAAATTTGTCGACCATCTCCCACAATGCACTGGGAAAAATGAACCCTCCGTGGCAAACTCTTGGTGGCGCCCTGCATTGCGAATCACCTGAATTGATTCAGAATGGCTATTCACTGCTAGTCTTTTCATGCATGTACAATGTACATACAGCAGTTTACACGTATTGACACAAGTGTGTTTCCAAACTGTTTGAATGCATTTTAAAAACGACATTTCTGCGATGATCTGGTGAGTTACATGTAGCAGCCAAAGTCTTACAGGATGCGACGTTTTATTTCTAGCTTACAAAACCAGACACGCAGACAAAATTCTTGGAAAAGAATGGGTCTAAAAATATATAGAAATACAGATGAGTGGTTCGTGTAAATGTCAACGGCCGTTGAACTGGAATCCTGGATGCTGATTGGCTGAGGCTAGAGCAGCGTCATGGAAACCCATACTGTGTTTGTTGTTTTTTCAAAGGGAGCAGCCAAGGCGAAATGATCATGACATATTGGGCATGCTTTTTTTTTTAACTCCTGGATTGAAAAACAAACTACGCGTTTCTGGCCAATATATGCATTACCGGAAGGCAGGCTTGCTTTTAGAATTAGGCCAAAAAAAGAATAGTTCTGCTTCCGATTACATGCCTTTCAAAAATAGGGTCGGTCGGTCGGGTATTTTTTTTTTTTGCCAATTTTTTTTATGCAGATTGAATGGGGTATTCAATTATATGCGAAGTTTTAGCCTGAACTATTTCCATTGCACTACAAAAGCTATACACAAAATGGCCACAAAAAGTGAATAAAACCTACCTTAATTATTGTCAATATATTTAAGTTCGATAATTCGTAAATTTTTTTGGGGGAAATTCAGGTCGTTCGCACCATAGGCACAACGCTAGTCAAGAAGGGGAGCTGGCCAAAACTCCGAAGTGTGTGATGCACAGCACTGTACATGTACATTTGTACATGTGTGGCCTGCGGCCAACGGGTCGAACATTTCAGGAAACACGCTGCATTGTATCACTCCAAATACGAGTAGTGCGATCTCAAAATGAACTCTTGAACACGGAAAATACATACACAGACAAGCTAGATCAAATCTGTGAATTAACTTGCAAAAATGTTCTTTCTCCATCGGTGTTTTCTTGGCATTTTTACGATGTCTTTCTCAGCATTTTTACGATGTCGAGTCCGACCAGTTGACAGAGCACGTGCCTGCGCCTGCATAGCCATGCTAGCGCTAACGATCGCATAGCCATGCACAGACTAGTTACCGCATTTTCATAATTGGCCCCTGCGCGGCGCGGCGAGAACCAGTCGTCGCGGCATTGCGCTTATTACGCACGTGATTATAGACATCGAATTGCGAAGTAGTTGAATCGCGCAGCGAATTTGTAAAAATAACGGAGGTTTCTTTTGAAAAAATAGCGAATGTAAGTAAGAAAACAATAAATACAAGCATTTTTTGATGCAAAAGGGTTGTTGAGAGGTATTTTGTGAAGACAGACAAGACATAAGGTTTTTATTTTTATTTATTCAATCTTTTTTTTTTTTTTTTTTTTTTGGAATTGCCGATAAAATTTTTAGGGTCGCAGCCTAAAAATAGGGTCGGTCGGGTAACCGGAAGCAGAACTATTCTTTTTTTGGGCCTTATCTACTTGTTGTTGTTTTTGTTTTATAATTCTGACAAGGAACCGTGGAACCCCCAACGTAGGGTTGGATAGCTCAGTTGGTAGAGCACCGGAACGGCAATCCAGAAGTTGCAGGTTCAAACCCCGCTCCAGTCAAGTTCTTTGTTCAACTTGAAAAAAAGTATATATTATCATGCACCCCTTGTCAGTTTCTCTTTGTGGTTTACTGAATTTTTTTTTCCATTGCAATTTCCAAAAAACATTTTACACAAGGCAATTCATACAACTTGAAAAAAGTCGACAAGTCAATGGCCCTAATCACATCCATTAAGAAAATGAACAAATTGTACAAATGGCCAAATCAGACAAAATTAGCATACTACCGGTACATGTATATGAAAGCTTTACATCAGAAGTCAGAAAAAAATCCCCCCCCCCCAAAAAAGTAAATAAATAAAAAACTTTAAAAAAATCAGTGTCTTTCTAGGAAGTCATAAAAAAAGTGTGAACGATGGTACATGTAGGCACTTCAATCCCGATTGGCCATTCCTGTCTCAATGACAGGAAGTGAAGGTACCATTATTTTAGTTTATTTTTTTCATATTCTTAGAAAACTTGACAATAATGCAATTAGGCAGATGTTTTTCTTCAAGTGTTGGGCATTATGATGGCCATTAACCCTCCAGCGAGTCTACATCTACCGAGAATGCCGGAAACATTAATTTGCTGGTGATTCTTTTAATGACAGGCTCCACGCAGCTGCGGCTTGTGCCGGTTCAAACTAGAAACAAGCAAGGCATACATGTATCTAGTACTAAATGTGTTTGTCACATTTAGGATGATATCACAAATAGAATCGAGGGTGTTTCTCACTGGCTGGAAATTTTTTTGTTCCTTGGGGCTGGGAGTTAAAAGGACACCAAAGATTCCCAAACTCCCAAGATAGATTTAGAGTTTAAAGCCAAATAATAAGTTGTTTATCTGTGAGCAATGCTGTGCGATAGTATATGGGGCCATGTGCATGTATCCTACGTGGCTTTGGGAAGTTTGTCAGGGGACAATTTTCAGATATATGACTTTTTGTGAAATTTGATGGTAGAAGTTAAAGAGCTAGTAAAAAAAACCGAATGCAAACAGAGTAAAACAAAGATTGTCTAACATTTCTTTACATGCCAATTCTTAACCAGTCCACGCTGTGATTATTTTGATTAGAACGTAACGAGGCGCGGGATTATATTTCACTCCATTTCAAGCCAGGCGGGTTGAAGCCATCACCCTCGGGCAGCACACTCATATTTCTGGCCTCGGTTGCTGCGAGCGGGTCGCTGACAGATATTTTCGGCCTCGCTCGTTGCCTGTTTATCCGTCATCCGTTCAAAATACCGCAAAACCTTTCCGTGTATACATGTCATCCAGTGCGAAACAGGTTACAGTCATTATAAATGAAGGTTTTTGGTTCCATTTTTTGTGGTTTCATTTCAAAGCTGTGAATTATGAAGACTGGACTTTCTTCAAAGTTGTGCAATAGGCAGACTGGGTAATTGTCAAGACCGACTTCATTTCAAGTGGAAAAGTATATTCATAAAAGTGTTCAAAAGAAGTCTAGTCTACCCCTTAAAAGCAAAATTTGTCAAACCAAGGGGATCTGCATGTAGACTATTTGAAAACTCTCCAGTATACCATAACTGTTCGAGACAGATTAAGACAACACACAAGCTGTGATGTTTGCCCTCACCGCGTAACTTTTCAGACTTTAAAAATTTGAGAGATAATTGCAGTCTTGTTCCCTGCTCAAGAACAGTCAGTCATGAAACTGCAAAGCTACCAAAAATAGGAAATTTCAAGACTTCAGAAGACTTGGTACAGTATTTTTTAATTTCTAATGGCAGACATTGGAAATAATAAAAAAGAGGAAATCAGTTTATCCGAGGAAAAGTTGCACGCTAGACAGTAGATACATTTGATAACTCTCCAAAACCACACATGACTCAAGATGTGCTTGCTGACAAGTCACATATTAGACTTGCTAACAACCTACCCACTAAGGTTTTTTTCTATTTGAAGAAATGTACGTGAGAATTACTCATCACCGACATTAGAACAGGGAGGGGAAATGCAATAACAACTCAGAATGGTCTCCGTTTCAGAACTGTTGGGGAACTGTGTGGTCATATCCATACCAGCCAAGCACTGTTATTTTAATGTTGGCCTAAGAGGGTTCCAACAGAAATCCTGAAATGAAAACCCATGACTTTCCATGATTTTCCATGACAAATTTAGCACTTTCCATGGACGGCCACGCCTTTCAGACACAAGACCACTGAGCATCACAAAGCAAGACGGGAACACTGCCATAGCTAGATATGATGTATACACATCATCACCTATGGGTTGATTAAGTCGGTCGATGTCTCACCGTGATTAACTTTTGTACTGCTAGAAAAAAAGCAATTTAGATAAGGACTCTATATTTAAAGATGAAACTTGAAAATGGCACGAGGAAAACAACTTGAAGCATCTCCATCTATTTTCTTACCTCTGCACTGCTGATGAGCTGTCTCCGAGGCTAAACCCTCGTCCAGTCTGCTGAGAGACGGGCCTGGCGCTGCCTGGATGGGCGGCTCCTAGGGATGGGTAGGGCGGGGCAGGGGAGGTAGGAGAGGCTGGACTGGGGATCTCTAAGAGAGCAGCGATGTCGGCTGTCTTGGCTTGACGGACTCGCTGTCGACCTGTCCATGGACGAGAGAGAAAGATGAGATTTGGGTCGACTGGATGTCATCGTGATTGGAATTCTTTGTGAATTTTTTTTACCGCTTGCTTAAAAACAGCAGAATTCACATTCACCTCGAAAAATATATTGTTTCAATTGCTATTTCCTAGCATTAGGTGTGTTTGATTAAACACGAGTGTTCAATTAGCCATCATGTGATCCTCGTGTCTGCCCCGATGTCAACCACCACTGCCCCAGCTAGCGAGCGGGTCTCTGGTGGCTGCCCGACGATGTAAGTGGACGATTTCGTTGATAGGAAGATTAAAGATGGCAGGAACTTGAATACGAATTGAGTACAGAGGAGAGATTTATGGCACAATATTGCCAATTATTTACAGTGTTCAATTGGACGGACATAGTTTTGATAATTCAGAGCATATCCTCCAATTTCATCAATTATTGATCTGATTACAGTGATAAAACAATATTTACAGGAGAAGCAGATGACAGTTTGCCTGGTGTGTTTACATTTTAAAGCCCCCCCCAAACAACCTCTGACCTTAAAGCTATAGTCCATCATTTGCAGCCATCCGAAAAAGTAACTGGCGTATTATTGTTGAAAAACATACTTGGTTGAAAGATAGTAAGTGGACTAAACTCCCTGTGAAATTAATCTTTCTGGCAAGCTATCATTTTGAAGTAATCAACGAAAGAAGGCCTTTCCAACGGTGCGTCTTTCCAACCGTAGGAAAATTTAAATTAGTAGTTCGTTTTGTTATTCGGCGCAGCGCGCACAAGCATTGGCACGACGCACAGGAGGGCGCGGTGCTATAATTCGTCGGATCAATGCGCGACATCGCGTATAGCTGCAATTCAAAACAATTCAAAACATGATTCAGCAACTTTTGATTTGAAATTGAGATCTTAGAATGCTGTTTTTCTCGGAATGTACAGCTGAAGCTTAGCTGAAACTTCATCAGGTTAGTTGTTCAGTATCCTTCATTAGATTTTGAACACTTTTGTTGCTTCAAATGAACAAAATGCACAAATTACAAATGATGGACTATATCTTTAATTTTCAAGAATGCCAGGCAAATACACCACAGTGTTCGATTAGCTTCATTTCATGGCTTCCCCGGGTGTATAAACGGGGGAAACTAATCAAACACACCCAATATAAAAGTGCATTAATTCGAGAAGTCGAACCAAAAAAATCCACCGAAGTTTAGTTAGTGAATTATTTCTTCACAAAATCAGTATTATTAGCTACCAAACAATAATTGGCCTCTAGAAGCGAGGGTTAATCTGTACACAAAATGAAAGCCCTTTGTAAAGAATGTTGACTGATGCTCAGAATTGGGACAAAGTAGTGTTTTCCTTAAAACAAGACATACAAATGCATGTACATGTAAATTGCATTATACAAAATTGTACAATTTATTCATAACATTTCTATTCCCCGGGTATGCCTAAACAGTTGGGGCCCTGCATACAATACCAATGACTACACGTACAATTACAAATACGATACACTAAAATCAAAGTACACCTAATTAATGCAATGATGGCTTCACTACCTTTTGTTAGTCTTTGTTTGGCTGCCATACAGCGTATATGATCATCAAACTGGAACCTGGCAGCCAGGAGGGGGATGGGCTTAGCGTGGGGGGAGGTGGTCATCCGCTTGTGAATGGTGACATGGAGTGATCGACTGTCATCTTTGTCCCCTGTCACCTCCAAGTCCTGAAAAGGCAATGACGTATGACATACACATATTAAAGGGAATCTACAACTTTTGCTTTTGCTGCAATTTTCAGAAATAAAAGGATTTGGAGGATTTATAGCAAATATTGTTTAACTGACTTGTTTCACGTTTTGGGCTTGTAGATGCTGGAAAAACAAAGAAAACCAATCATGTCCTTGTAGTCTGGTTTCCTGATGCGGAATAACTAATTATGAAAAATTAGGAGCAGTTTTTTCCAACGCTAGTCGGCCGACCAGCATTGGAAAAATACAATTTTTCTTGAAAATGTCAGCACACCAGGAGCCACGATTTTATAGGATGCTTTAGACTGTCGTTTCCTAACAATCCAGTAAGGTATTTTGTGATAATTTGATCATTTTGTTTTGTCATGTTTGCAAATGTTGTATCTTCCCTTTAAATTACATGAATAGTAGTTTATACATGTGCAGCATTCATTTAAATTGGGGGGGGGGGGGGGGGAGGGTACGCAAGACAGTAAGCACACAAATTAGCTTGTACGTAACGGAGACACCTTTTGCTCTGTTTATTTATTATTTGGTATTTTTGGCTGTGATAGCCCACAAAAGTCTGTCACTCTGTCGACTTATTTCCAGTGGGGTCCCTTGGCAGAAGGTGAGGCAGGAACATTTTCATTCAGAGGTTCTATTTGGAAAGTATTTGCCTTTGGTTTTGGACAATGTAACTGTTACAGAAAAAAGCAGTTGTTACATTTGTAACAAGAAGATAATAATACAGCACCACGATGGACTTTTCAAGGAGGGAGATTCAACACATTCAGATCATGTGATGCTCGTGCACTTGAGCAAGCCACTTTACTGTGGTCCCGATTTACATGAGTGCGTACGTGTGGACTGGCCAGTTAGTCGGGCAAAAAATACATGCGAAAAATAGGTTCACGTGTGCAGAGCCACATTCTGGGCCTTATTCACGAGTTGGCCATTTTTGTCAAGTTCCCTGAACGTATTTCATTAAGTGTTAACTGTTCAATGTTCAATTTTGTACTCAAAATCTAGCAACAAGCAGTGGATGTTCAACCAAACCAATTGTTTAGTATATAACGTTGTACATGTACATGTACTTATTTCAACAGTCTACTGTCACACACTGTAATAATAAACACACTATGACACACTTTCCTTGGCCTTGTTTTGAAATGAGTGGCCCAACACCAAAAGTACACCACATGACTTCCCGGCAGTGGCAAATAAAAGTTGAAATTCCTTGTAGAAGTTCCGACACAGTTTAACATTCCCGGAAGAACACATCCAGGTTTATCTTTCTGGTTTTCCGATCCTAAACTATCTGCGAGTCAACATTCACAGACCAGATGAGATTATATAGGCTTGAACATCATGGTGCATTGTTTGAATTGCTTCTAATTGAGATATTTACATGTAATTCTGTACTAATAGGAGTTACATTTATTTCCTCAATCACATTTACCTGTTGATTATTATTTACAAGTTCAGTTTGATTAAATGTTCCTTACACTTAGCTGATTATATGATTAACCTGTTTTGATTTTCTTCATTTAATTCCTTGTCGTTATGTGTTATATTTATCCTTTATAAATTTACTTGTAAGTCTATTATTCTAAGTTTATCCATTTCATATTTCTCTATTGTCATTCTATTGTTTGTCAAATTACATTTAAGTAAGATTTGAGGCTTTGCATGGTGGAGATACTAAATAATGAAAGGTTTGCGGAAACACCATGTGCGAATAATTTCTCAACTAAGAGAATGGTTCTGAAAAGAACCAGAGGTATAAACTCGACGTTCCGGTCAGTATGCTCTGACCGTCAGTATGCTCTGAAGACGGTCAGAGCATACTGAACGGAACGTGGAGTTTATACCTCTGGTTCTTAACTTCTTTTCAGAACCATTCTCTTAGTTGAGAAATTATTCGCACATGGTGTTTCCGCAAACCTTTCATTATTTAAATTACATTTAGTCCTTTCTATGTTTATTATATTGTGTTGGTTGTAGCTTGGGTCCTTTTGTATCCTTTGGTATACCCAATCTACAATCAACATAATTTAGGGGCCCATACTCGACAAGCTGTGCTTCTTATGGACCCTTCCATTTCCAAGCTTTGTCGTCTTTCAAATTATTTTTCTTCTCCACTGCATTATGTATAATTGGAAATAGAGTTACATTTGTAAGTTAAGTTACATGTAAACATCAGCTCACTAGAAGATCTGACGATCACAAGTCAGTGTGTAATGATATTTGTTGATTGTGTCCTGGTCTTGGTTGCAGGTATGTCTGATTCAATGTCTTTCAAGTTTAAGATCAATTCTGAAACACTGTCTAGGACTTCAGGTACCTTGAGTCCAAGTCTGAGTCCCCAGTAATGAGTCCATATTGAGCTTGAGCCCCGTCTACGTTGACTTCAGTTAGAGTCCAAGGTTATGCAAGTTTGAAACATTATGTCGGTCGAACCTTTTGCTAGTAGGTTCAACCAACTATTGCTTCTGCCAGGAAACCCATCAAACCGAAATCGGAAACGAGAGTGACAGTTGTTGATTAACCCTGCCCTAGTTTCATGAAAGATATTTCACATCAGGACAGAAAAGACAAAAAAACTGCACGATTCTTTGACTAATTTACTGGTATTGTTAAAAAGACTTTTCAACACAATATATACCAACAAAATCTATACGCGACAATTATGATCAATTCAAATAAATGCTCAACCAAATTTTCTCATGACCTAAGTGAAATTGTATACTGACTTGCCAAACTTATACTAAAAAAAAAGATTTGATAGATCCATTCCTAAAAACATTCCTAACACAATAAACAAGTTGACATTCAAACTATGCAGGTCATTACGCTGAAATAACACACCTCGTTAGATATTTAATCATCTATCACAGCCAAAGTAATTGGCTTTTCCACAAACTTTGTTGTTGTTTTACTGAGATGCTCTTCATGTCCTTGCTGAATTTGATCCTTTTTATTATATTTTTTGGTTGCGTTTTTATTTGTGAGCTTGCTTTTCAATATATTTCTTTCCTGGTTCTGGCTATTAATTGCTTCAACTTGTAGCTTATCTTTTGTATGCTTTGTTACCATGGTTTTCCTTTTCGGCCATTCAAAAAAAAGTTGCTAAATTAAAAATATATTTATTCAAAAATATGTAAATTTTTGAGTAAAAAGCATTCCCAATGTTTTTATCCAATCAACAGAATAAACAGCCTATATTTACTTAGATTCTTGTGAAGGACTTTTGAGCTTCTGAGCTAAAATGCCTCAGTCCTACTGTCCTTTGGCATTAATCTACTGACGTACGTGGCTTTTATCTTTCCAAGAAAACCAGAATCCCAGGCGTCGTGTTGTTTTCAAAGTCGGTTCACACAAATAGACAAACACTCCCACACTAGGACTTTGTGGTTTCATATTCAGCGCTGAGTATATGATTGGCATTTCATGAGAATAAAGCAGCCAACCAGGGTGCATTCAAAGGCCGTCGGGTCGAACGTTCAGTCAAGTAAAACCACTTTCTTGATTTTAGGTGTTTTTTTTCGTTTTGACATGTCACTGACACCACACTAGATTTTTTTTCTCAATTTAATTAATGAAGTTCAACATGTACATATGCAACAAATTATAAACGAAAAATATGTGGTATGAGAAACTGTGGAAATTGTTGAAAATACTGGATGCTGCTCATTTTTGATTAAAATATCATTTTATCACCAAATTGGGCCATTGTGTTAATATCAACCCTAAAGTAATTTTTTGGCATCAAAATTTCCATTGTTCACCAACAGTTTGTGTCATATTTCTGATTTAACGTATAACCAACCCCACCAAATCAGGTTGTTAAAGAAACTGTGATTGCATAGGCCTAATCACTTCATACCATACTTTTACTTTTGGGAGGGGGGGGGGGGTGTCTTGCATGTTAGCAACAAAAAGAATTTGGGAATGTCTTTGCGTCATCGTTCACTGGAACATACATGTATCGATTCCTTGCTACATACTTTCCAAGAAAGACGTACAGATGTGGATAAATATGCACTGCCTGTCAACACTGGATGACTGCACGCAACATAAAGAAGAAGACATACCTTGCCTTTCTTAGTCTTATCTTCTGTATGAATCTAGATATCACTTACATGCTGAGATCAGTCATGGTTTGAGAAGTATGGTTGTTTATTTCTGCAGATTCTGGGTTTTTTCCCCAGAAATTTGTGTTTCTTATAAATACTGACTCACATTTTACAGCTCTGTTAAAGCAAAAAAAGTCAGGTTGTTTTTGTGTAAATAAATACATGTGAGTCATTCAAAGTGTGACATATTTCCAGTCCATTACTTCTGAACTTTTTATTTTGCCATTGAGGTGTCATTAAAAATGAAGTCAATTTATTTTCTGATTTGTTGGATAATTTAAATAACTCTTAGAGGAAGAAAACATTACTTCAGGAGTACATTCAAAATTAACAACAAAAACCTGTACATGTCAGATGTAACAGAGACAGGGAAAAAGTGGACCCCAAATGGATACATGTAGAATGACCCACGTGAACATGTTTTTCTTTCAATGCACGATGTCTTAACCACCAAATCAGCAACCAACAAGTGCATGAACTTGAGTAAATATTATGTAGGTATCATCTCATGTTGTATAGTTTTTATGTTAAAAAAAAGACACTGTTTTTTTTACTTTGATGAAGGCTTTGAATTGATAATAAAATCCAGGACATGATGGGCAAAGTTGAGGTCATTGTTAGCAAACAGAGCGGCCTCTTCAGGTCCAATACCCAAGCCTGCAGGAACAGGGGTGCTGTGGGTGCTGCAGGTGCTGGAATATATGAAAGCACCCCCTACATTTAGTAGACATGAATGCATGTCCCAGCACCTCCTGGCAAAATTATATTCCAGCGGGCGTGGCAATACCCACAGTGTCTTCCTTACCTGTAGCGGCCCAACAAATCTAGCCACGCCCCATCCTAGCTTCTTGCTATCCGGCTCCACCAGAATCAATTGATGGTTGTCAATCACTAGAAATCGCCTGACCCTCTGTGGACTGAGGACAACCAAAAAGACAAATGGGAGGGGTAAATGAGGGACTGTGACAAGTCTAATCCTCCTTGTCAGGAGGGTAATACGTGCTTTCATAAATATACAAAGTAACTTTAAATCAATCTCAAAATGAAAGACTTTAAACATATAATTTCTGGTAAACTGCAAACTTACATATTCTTCAAATTATGCCAGGAAAAAAAGCAGTTCTGTTTACTACTTGTACTACATTAAAACAAATTCAGGTGGGTGGGTGTGTAAAATTAATTTGTTGCTCTAAATTTTTATAACCAGAAAAAATAGGATGGGATGATGGTTGATTAATTTTTAATTGCAGCATGGTGTGGCAAAATGAAATAATTTTTTTTCAAAATGTACGAAAAGACGATGTCCCCAAAAGCTAGGGTGGGGCGGCACTACAAGGTTTGATCTTTAATTCTTTTTTAATCAAAAGATTTAAGTTACATGTATGCAAGATTTTATAGGTTGGCTGGGGTAACTGGAAACAGGTACAAGTGTTTTTTACTTGGCCTAACGTGACTTGTACCCAGAATTGGCGTTGTCACAATGCACTCACTCACTCAAAAGGACGTGTTTGCTTTTGATAAATTTTCTGAACAAAAGGGCTCTGTCATGCGTAACTTCTGCCAACATGTACTGGTCACAATTGCATAAAAATACCAACATGTAGCTGGTGATATTTGTACAGATAAACGGGAAGCTGGTTGGGCTGATGTAAATTCAGTGACCAATGCTTGGAACATCGGATATGATCTCACCTTTTGTCTTTCATGAGGACTGTGCAGGCAATTAAATCACTGTTATCTGAAATTAAAAAAAGGAGAAAGGAATTTACTCATTTGTTGATTTGAATAGCCCTGTCCTGAATCACATTTGTCCTTGTACAACTGAAACCAGATTCTTCCTGAAATTCTAGCCCCAGAATTTCCAAATTGACCTAACATTTTCCTGGTCATTCAAGGTTTTTGCAGGGTACAAGTTTCCAGGATTTGCCAGGACTTGTCTGAACATGTACAGGTACAGAAACTATAAACATGAATGATAACTTGCATTAAAAGAATTCCACTAACTTTATTATGTGACTTTGTCAAATCATCTACCACCCTCCTATGAGCTCTGTATACAAGTACCCCATCAACGGCCAGAAAAGGAGAGTTTGGGGAGACCTAGACTGGTTCCTAATGCATCCACTGTGTATTTCGAATGATCCAAGGTTATTGGGGGCGTGGATTAGTCTGGGAGACCATCGCAAGTTAAATTCGATCGTTTTCGTGTGCCGATGACGCCTGAGGCTCACACAAAGTCGCTGTGGCTAATAGCTTTAGCACATTCAGGATGTTGTGCATACCTTCGCGAGCGAACTAGTACCGTACAGTACGTTCACGCTATGTGTCCCGTCCACGGAGCTCAAAGTAGTAAAAACGCGCCCTCTTTTGTTGGCGCACGGAGCCCATAAGTTGCATGGTTTTATCGTTTGTCATATGCCACATCTTTTGTTAAAAGCCACTTTCGTGCATGATTGGAGAGCTTCCATGAGGAATATTACCTCAAATGCTGTCTTTAAAATCTCTCAAATATCAGCCATTCCGCAACCTGTTCTTTATATTATTTGAATAACTTCTTTGTCAATTTTTAATAAGTGCAGGCACATGCCAATCCCGATTGGCGTCCAGTTTCAGCTGGCGCATGTTAAACTTGATTCAAAGCGCATTCAAATATACTGGATCAAATCCAACCTAAAATAATTGAAAATGCCCCAAGTGAGCACAATATCCGATTTCTAACAAGTGCGACGTGATCTATCCAGTTGTGGACCCTGACAGTTTCTTAACACCACCTCTCAGGAATCTAGGACTAATCCACTACCCTCTGTGGGTTATTCAAAGATATAGGATCATTCGCATTTTATGCGTTTTGTTCGTCCCAATAATAACACCACTCAACATCCAAAGAAGAATGTTCAAAACCTAACCCGTTCAAGTTTCACGATTTTGTCGATCGCACTCTTTATTTAAAAAAATCAGTCAATTGACTGATTTTTTGAAATTACCTTTATTTCTTGATTTCTTCTAAGTGACTGTTTAGTACCAGTTCAATCTTTCATCCAAGCAAGCTTTTTGATAATAATTGGGTAGGTTTTGGGATATGCCTTAAATTTGAACTAGAAAAAAAGGAAGAAGTTTGTTTGAGATAACTAGGCACGCCTTTATTCATTGTAAACAATGTAAATTACTTTAATCAGCTGTCAATTTTCATATCAAGTCAACAGAGTGATAAGAAGTGATGTGCAATCTGCCATTTCCTGCTTGCAAACCACAAGAGCCTATAAAATACAATCATATAAACTTGGATATATGCACTCTCGTCCAAAAACAGGCCTTGTTATTTTTGGAATGGTAAGTTACACGCAACTGAAAAGGAAATTGCCACATATATGATGTTGCGGTTAGTCACATTGGCGCCAAATGTTCCAGAGACAATGGTTCTGGTTATGGGATGATGATCAAGCTCACAGAATATCTGAACATCACATGATAGATGAGAAATTGTTTCCAAGAACAAGAGGAATTGTACACCGAACCCGACAACCGCATTTTTTCCCCAGTGTTACCGATTGTATTCAATGAAGCTTATGTGTTTATCTTGGCATATGTTCATCCAACCTGCTTGCTTCACAATGGGCGTGTTTCCTGACATTCCATGAAGAGTTCTAGAACTTTCTAATGGGATGAGGAGGTTTAAGTTTCACTTGGAAAATAATCTCTGTTTGTTTGTTTTTTTCAGGCCAGTTTTGATTAGAAATTCAGAACTCTCAGAAAAGGACTGAAGCAGTATTTGAACAAATGGCAACATGAACTTAAGGCAACACTTCTTCTAAAAAAGGGGGTGTCAGGGTCTGGCTAAGATTGTTCATGAAAATTGAATGTCAGTTGAAGATTGCAAGCTTTGCATACTTTAGGAAATATGTTACCCAAACCAGTGTCCTGAACACTGTAGCCCACATGATAAAACATTCTCAATGCACCAGATCATTTTATAATGAGATGCTCAAGGTGCATAGTAAATATGCACAATGCAAAGAGGGGGAACACTAAGATAACGGTACACAAAAAAAATTATGTGAAGAGGAAACAACAATACAACATGAGGATCAAATGAAGGAGCTATTTAAATGCTACTTGGAGAAGGTGGGTCTATCCGCTCCGTTCACAAGTACCCCCTCACCGGCAAAGGAAGTACAGTTGGGGGTGCGCGGCCACTGCGTGTACAAAGAACAAATCCCCTGGTGTACGCGCGTCACACACAAGGAACGGTGCGCGTCAACCAGCGAAATGTACCGTCCATGGGACGTCGTTGCTAGGTAAAAGGGCGCCCTCTTTTGGTAGCGCATGGAGCTCATAGAGCACATTGGGTTGGGGATGGACAGTGTGAAACTCCACTCAGAGTATCTACCAGTACAGGCCATTGACTGAAGTCTCTGGACAATGGCTGCATCCAAATTGCATGGCAACGGCTTACTATCACACGTGTGCCTATGCAACAGGATGAAGCCACTTCCCATAGGCATGTATGTTACTGCAGTGTCAGCAAAGTAATTCCAGCACAGATTAAAAGGTACTGAACAGTCCATCATTTGTAATCTGTGCATTATGTTTGTTTGAAGCAACAAAAGTGCTCAAAATCTAAAGGGTGATTAAAAACTTTTAAAAGTTTCAACTCAGTGAATGCTGTATATTCCAATGAAAACAATATTCTAGGATCTTGATTTCAAATTCAAATTTGCCGAGTCATGTTTTGAATTTGCACCTGAGTTGAACGTTCTCATTCAGCCTCTTTGCAGCTACGCAATGTCGCGCACAGTGAACCGACTGTGACGAATTATAGCAAACGCGCATGCGTTGTGTCAATGCTTGCGGGCGCGTCTTTAGAAGCATTGTTGGAATAGCCGTCTTTCATTGTTTTCTTCAAATTTCACAGGGTGTTTGGTACCATTACTACCTTTAAACCAAGTACACTTTTCAACAATAGTTTCATCAGTTACTTTGTGGATTGCTGCAAATGATGAACTGTAGCTTTAAAGGGACATTACGTCCTGGAATGCACCCTATTGAGCTCCAACATTCGTTTTCAACAAAAGGATTTTAATTGGAAAGAATGTTTAAAGTAGGATAAAAACGTCCACACAACCATCCTTTAAAAACTGGGTGTTTTGTGTTATTCTTGCGGAAACTATGCGAGAACGAATTTCAAAGGTCCACATTTAGACTCTCAAAATCGAGCTGTTGAGTGCTAATTGTGAATCCTGCAGCACAGTGCATCGCATTCTGTGGACGTGCGAGAAACAACATGTGTGTATTGTGCTGTGTGTATTGTGACACACACACACAACGTGTACCGTACATTGAATGGATACGGCTGGAAATACGTATGCGTATGCCTCAAAATGTCCATCGCGTCCGATTATAACCAGGTGTTTTTCTTTTCTCGGGAACAGTAAGACATTAGGTTAGTTTCCATTCAACCAGACCTTTGAAATAGGATAAGTAAACAATCCAAACCATAACATTTTCAGGGATTTAAGGCTGTAATGCCCCTTTAACACGAGTTCAGTGATTGAGCAAAGTTCAACATAGTCTCCAAATTACCGATAAGTCATGGTACTCATCTATAAACAGATCAAACAGTCACATGACGATACCACAAACCTGCGGCTATAAATGGAAAAAGAAAACTACATGTAGTTTGCAATTCGCAGTCCGCTAAATGATTGGACCCAAAACTCTTTACAACTTCCTATTTGGGAGTGGTTACCGTGAGTTAATAAACACAAGACCGAAACCGATGGTTGAGCACACAGCTTCCTAGAAGCTCGGTGAAAGGGAATCACATGCATTAACCATTAACCGCAGTAGGGCGTGCCAGTACACTAATGACTAGTACAGTAAGATGGGGCCACTGGACAACCTGGGATCTTTGGAAAAATGGAATTGGGGGAAATGAGAAAAAAGAAGACTTTTACATTTTTTTCAAAGGTTTGGTTTTTCATCGTCAACACTATGATTCCTTATAAAACGTATTTGGCAAGAAGGTAGTCCCAATAGTGCTTTGCTTGTGTACATATGTCTATAGGGAGTGTGAACATTTTTCATGATTTTCTGGCAAATTTGGAAATGTTTCTCATGGTGGTTTTTTTTGGGGGGGGGGATTTTTGCACTCTCATTTTTACATTTTGTGGCAAGAGTTTGATGGGAAAGTTTGTTTTTCCATTTCCAGTTGACATCAACTCCATGATGCAAGTACCGGTACCAAGGTAACAGGAACAGAAAAAATGTCACACCTTGGACTTCAAATGTATACAATGACCCATTGTATCAAGTAGTCCATCACTGAAACAAGACCATTAAAGGGAATGTACATCATTGGCTTTTGCCATGAACTATTTGAGGGGTTAATATAATGGATCAAATATTGTTACACTGACATGTTTGAAGTTTTGTGTTTGAAAACGCTGGAAAAACCAAGAAAAACAAAAATGTTCAAGTAGTCTGGTTCCCTGACTCCACTAAAGATTAAATGGATCAATGTATTGATGCCGGATAATTGTAAGGTAAGGGAACCAGTCTAGCTGGCCTGCACCCGTTCATGAACATGTAACCAATAGCAAACAAAATTTGGACTGAAAAAAATGGTAATTTGGAGCAGTAGTTGAAAATAGTTAGGTTTTTCCAACGATGGTCGGCTGACCACCGTTGGAAATGTGTACAAAAATACCATTTTCTTGAAAATGACTTCACACCAGGTGC